AAATATTTGCTGTTTTGCCTTGTCGGTGTTTCTTCACGGTGAGTCTGAAAACTTTCTTTTACTGAGAAGGTGACTCTGAAACTCTCTTTCAGTATCCCTTTTCTTTTGTAGCACAGACAGCTGCCCTGGGTTATTTGGGGAGTCTTGGGGTCCTGACGGCGGATCCCGTGGACTCGGGAAGGGTGTTCACTGGCGTCCCTTCCCCTTCTCCAGCCGGAGCCCTCCTGTGATGGCAGGAGGGTACAGGAAGAGCCAGGCAACCTCCACCCTCCGAGGAGAAGCAAGAGCATCTTACAGGACTCCACAGAGAAAGAGAATCCGGGAGAGTCGAAGATAAAGTATATTCAGCGTCCTTATCGGGAGACCAACAAAACAGGTAATGCACATTTTTGAGGAAGAGCTAAAATGTCCCATTTGTTAAGTATTTTTGAAGATCCTCATGTCCGACCATGCTCTCATGAATTTTTGTAGAAGTTGTTTGGCAAACGTTCTTCAGGCATCTGGTAACCTTTATATATGGAGACCTTTAAGAACTCCACCCAAGTGCCCTCACTGAAGAAATGTTACTGAAATTACTCCAACTGGCATTGAACCTTTATCTGCTAATTTTGCACTGAGGGCTGTTATTGAAAAATATCAGCAAGATGACATACGGATGTGGTTTTCTGTCCTGAACATTAGAGACAACCACTAAATGTTTATTGTCTACTAGATAAAAAGTTAGCTTGTGGTCACTGTCTTACTGTGGGTCAACATCATGGTCATCCTATAGACAATCTTCAGAGTGCCTATCTGAAAGAAAAGGACACACCTCAGAGACTGCTGAAACAGTTAACTGACACACATTGGACAGATATTACTCATTTTATTGAAAAGGCAGAAGAACAAAAGTCTCATTCTCAGACGATCCAGGGTGATAAAGAAGTTGCTCTCTAGTATTTTGAGGAGCTTATTAATATATTAGAAGAGAAAAACATTTTGTAACAGCTCTCTGTGATGTTGGCAATCTGATTAATGAAGAATATACCCACAAATTGAGAGAATGAAAGAAAAGAGCAGCAGCTTGAATTAATGATACTGACAACATCTTTACAAGAAATATCTCCACTTGAACTTCTTGAAAAAAAATTGATAACATCTGCCAGTATGTGCAGATCTTGAAACAAAGACCACTTCTAGAGGTCAAACCCGTTGTAATTTATCCTAGAGTAAGCCAGGTATTAAAAGAATGGAGCAGAACAGAAATTGGACACATTAAGAAAGCTCCCATTCCTGAAATGAAAATTTCTGCAGTAAGAATGCCATCCTCCTGGCCTAATAAGGATAAAAAAGAAGTTTTTTTTTTTTTTTTTTAATTTTAAGCATTTCGGTGTTACTGATGTTGATGCTTTTTTCTACCAGCACATAATAACTTTCTTAAATGAAGTATATTCAGTATGTTTTTCTAAAGTCTCTTTGTCTGTTTACCAGTGTTTGTCTACAATTTAATGATTTAAAAATCATACTAAGTCACACTTCCTATTTGTTAAAGGAATTCATGTGGAAAATAGTTTCCCCTTGAAAATATGAATCTGGATTGTTAAATGGGCTTTTTCTATACAGCAGAGGCTACCTGCTGTTAACTGGAGAAACAGGAGGTAGCATAACAGCTAGTCAACTAAACTTTGGTAGAGTTCCGACAAATTCAGAAATTATGTTAAACCTTTCATGCTTCTGTTGGAGATAGTGCATCAGTTAAAATTGGAATATTAAAGACGATTCAAATTAAGTCATAACTGTGATGCAATCTAGCAAGTGGTTTGAGTATCAATCTATTGTCCCATTTGTATTGGCTTGATGGAGGTTGACTTAATGCTGCTCTGACATTTAAACATTGTACTGCTATTGTCTTTTACCATTATATACATCAATGTTTGAATATTCACACACACACACACACACACACACATAGTGTTTTACATTAAAAGATGGAAAAATAAAAAAGTTTAAAAACATTTGTGAGAGTAAGAAATTATTTAAAATATTTTTGTAGTCCATGTAACCATGGAGTGCACACATAAATATAAATATAAGTAGCCATTTGATCATTTGGTTAATATTCATAATAGTTTTCAGGCCAACTGATAAATTAATAAATGCATTGACAGCGAATCCTGAAGTGCACATGCTCCAGAGCCAGCCCTCCACAGCAGGACGCCCTCCCTGCCACCTTTTTGTTGTACGATCCTGTTTCAAATCACCTCAACTTTCTTGCCTGTTATGTAAAATAGGCTTCATAATATCTACTTCATACTATTATTGCAAGAATTGAATAAGCCAATGTACATGTGCATATGCTCAGAAAGGGGGCTACTGCACGGTTCCTGCTGGACAGGTGATCGTACGTCTCATCTGTGGTGAAATGGGGCTTAGAACACACTTGGGAACATATGGTCCTCAAGTCAGATCACCAGCGTCTCATCTTAGCAAGGGACTCCACGTCTCCATTGTGAAGTGAACTTCTACTCAGTGCTTTCTTTCAACGTTCAGTAGAACTCTGTCAGAATTTCTAATCAATTTTATTCCACCTCCCTTAAAACTTTAGTTAAGAAGATTCATTTTCAGAACATTTCTCTTACAAAAGTATTTTCCTTGCCACTTCTGTCACCTTATTTTAATTCAGCAATGTATTTCCTTTTTAGAAGATAAATGAGAAAATGATTTAATTACTTTCTCTAAAACTGACTTTAAGAAAGAACACCTAACTCTCCTGTTTAAATTTGGGGAACTTTCTCTTACGAAAGTATTTTCCTTGACACTTCTGTCACCTTATTTTAATTCAGCAATGTATTTCCTTTTTAGAAGATAAATGAGAAAATGATTTAATTACTTTCTCTAAAACTGACTGTAAGAAAGAACACCTAACTCTCCTCTTTAAACTTGGGGAACAATTTTGCTGCTATTAAAAAGGAATAAGCCAGGCATTTTGGCACATGCCTGTAATCCCAGCACTCGGGAGGCTGAGGCAAGAGGATTGCTGTGAGTTCAAGACCAGCCTGGGCTACCTAGTGAATTCCAGGTCAGTCTCAACTACATAGTGAGACCCTGTCTCAAAAAAAACAAAACAAAACAAAAAAAAGTGGGGGGGAATAAAATAAGGACTTTTTTTGAGATAAATGATTTAAGGTCCACATATTTCAAAACACCTATGGTTGGGGATCTAGCTCAGTGGCACCATGCCTGCCTTGCAAGTGCGAGGTCCTGAGTTCAATCCCCAATACCAAAAAAACACTTATGGTCAGTGTTATTGAAATGAGATATTTAAAAAAAATTATCATTTACAAATAAAGCCTTTAAAAAATCTCCTATACAAAATTGAGGAAACTTTGCTGCTCCATAAAAAGAAATAAGGGAAAAGAAAAAAATATGAGAAAATGAAAAAAATGGAAATAAAGTGTTTGTAAATAGGAAGGGAGGAGGGGGTGAAGGGAGGGCAGGGACAAGGGGAAAAAATGAGAACCAAGACCTGTCATGTAAAGGTTCGAGATCCCAATAAAGAATGTAACTGTACTGTATACCTAAAATGTACCAATAAACTCAATAAAAAGAAAAAACTAAATTATTCACATTTACCTGTACACAAAAATCCTGTATCTTTGAAGCATTTAATTTATTGCTTCCAAATCCTTAGTAGATAAATTAGTGAGATATCAGCAACTCAGTGGGAGAAATTTGGTACTGTCATATGCTGTTTCTCATGTGAACAGCATCTTTAAAATGCAGTAAGTATGGCAAATAGAGAAAAGTATATTGCATAAAATGAAAAGTCATTGTAATTTGTATTGTTTAGAAGCAATAACTGCTAACATTTTATTATATTTTGCCCCAAGAGTTTGGTGTCCACTTATACTTTTTTTTTTTTTTTTCCAGTACCGGAGATCGAACTCAGTTCCTTGTGCTTTTGAGGCAGGCACCAGGACCACTGAGCTAAATCCCTGACCCTTCCACTTGTACTTTTAAAAAAATTAGCATGAGTGTAATTGGTGGACTATTTCCCCCTTTGTACAACGGGAAAAGCAGAGCAGCCTTCCTCATGGTGTGTTTAGGAGGATGAATTGAGAAAGATCACATGAAGACACCTGTATTAGTCAAGGCTCACTACAGTAGCAGGATAGCACACAGTACTAAGCACGTGATTCACAAGGTAAGTTTAATGGCCACCTGCAGAGTCAGGTGTGGAAGAGGCCAAGAGGGCTGTCTGTGTTCTGGAAGTGTGAAGGATCCATTCAAGGATTGAGGACCTAGAGCTCACTGCAGAGTCCTGTTGGCCTGGAGACAGAAACGCCAAGGTGGTGGTGAAGACTGAAGCTCACTGAAGAAACAGAAGGGAGACCTCCTTCTTCTTTCCGCTTTCCATTCCGTTCAGGCCACAAGCCTGTTGGCTGGTGCCACTCGCACCCGGGGGTCTTCTGTCTTCAGTAAATCCCTTCAGCCACACCAGGAGTTATGCTACTCCTGCCAGCTGGGCTTTGCTTACTCAGGTTAACATAGAAGTTAACAATTACAGCACTGCACTATGATGTGGATGATTGACGGTGCTATTGTTAAGAGGATTATTATATCAAACACTGCATCTTTTAAAAGATTTAAGAAGACCGTAAAGCCAGAATGCGAACTACCCTGTGAAAATAGGATTTTGGATGACAGCATCATGTTTTATCTTATATACACTGTAAGTAAATTGGCTTCTTTGCCCCCATCTTTTTCACATTAAAGGACAAACTGCTATGCTCTTTTCCATTCCCAAATGATTTCATAAGTCAGAATAAATCATTCAAAATTTAAAGAAGACTCATTTTTATTTGCTGAAGTGTCTTCTCTTGCTTCCTCACTGGTTTCTAGTTAACTCAAGTAATAAATGTTTTCTATATTTAAAAAATTTAACACATTAATGGTGGTACGTAATTGGTTCTTATGATATGTTAATATCAAACTTGTTTTAGACAGTACCACTGTAGCTGATTTGCTTGCTATTACCAGGGTTGCATAATTGTTGCTACTAATGGGTTTTCTCTACAAGCCAACAATCAGATTATCTATATGACATTAGCCATACTGAAATAGTTTCTCAGAGAACTCAGAGTTAAGCCAGTCACCCTGTATTCCTACCATTAAACAAGGGGGTTGGATCTTGGGATAGAGGCAGAGGACTGTTTTTAGCTATGCCCAAAGTACATCACAGAAAAGTGACCAACAGAGATCTCTATACTAGCAACAAAGTCTTTACATAGTAAGTGTCCATAAACCTAAGCACAAAGCAAAACAGAAGGATACCCCCCAAAAAACACCTGCAACAGAAACATGAGAAGACTAGGCAAGAAAGTGCTTCCTGCAATTCCTAACTGCCCTGGAGCCAGTCCAAGAGGGGTCGAGGGGGAGGATAGCAGAAGCCTCCCATGGAAGTACTACAAAGAAGAGCAGGGGAGGTTAGAAAACAGAACAAGGAGGTAGTGAGGGAGGTTACAGAGTGTACAAGTAGACAGATAGCGGAGGTGTTAATGAAAAATTTTGTCAGCAATTCTTCATGCAGAGGACTGACAACTAGAATGTATAAAGAACTAAAAAAATCATTAGACCCCCCCCAAATAAAAGACCCAATCAAAAAGCAGGCAAATGAAATGAATAGGAACTTTTCAGAAGAAGTGCAAGCGGCCAATGAATACATGAAAAAAAGTTCAAATCACTGGCTATTGGAGAAATGCAAAGGAAAACAACACTGAGACTTCATCTCCCTTCAGATAGAATGGGTGTCATCAAGAAATCAAATAAGAACAAAATGCTGGTGAGGCTGCAGAGGAAAAGGAGCCCATCTGCATTGTTGGTAGGCATGTAAACTAGTACAAGCACTGTGGAGGCCAGTATGGAGATTCTTTAAAAAACTAAAACTAAACACTCTAATTTAACCACATGGCCTTCAAGTCATCTTCCTGAAAGAAAGTGATACTAGCATACTTGTGTTTTATAACAGCTAATTATTGGAAACAACCTGAATGCCCCTCAGTAGATGAATGGATAAAGAGAATGTGACATTTGTGCACCATGGAGTAATACTTTGTCCTAAGGAAGGATAAACAGGAGGAATTAATAGACAAATGGACACGCCTTGAGTCTATAAAGTTAAGTGAAGTAAATCAGATACACAGATTTATGTATCACATAGAATTAAAGAGCAAAATAAAAGACATCATAGGAAGTAGAAAGTAGAGAGATCTTTTTAAAAGGTAAGCGGAACAAGAGTTGGAGGGAGGTAGAAGGAAGGGAAAAGGGATTTGACACTTTCACAAGGGGGCCTTAACTCCTATGTCTCACTGCTGGGTGATGGGAACCACTGGTGATACGTGCGTGATGGTCCCATTGTGCAGCTTTTTATTAATTTGGTTAGTTAAGATGCTGATAAAAGTATTAGATCCTTTTACAAATGGACAGCCATACATGTACTAGCAGTGGGTTTGAGCCAACAGGAGCGTGTTAAAAAAGGATTGAAAAAATGGAAAGAGAGTTTTTTTCAAATGGGAAGTAGAATAAGACGTGGAGCAGGGATGTCTGGGAGAGGAAAGAGACACAAAAAAAGAACTAAGATATGCTATGTACATGCACAAACTCTCCACAATAAATGTAATAATTATGTATTTCCAACATAATAAATTTTTTACAAAAAGAGCTGAGTCATAGGGTTTGGGGTACACTAGAAGACTGGATTATAAACATGCTATCTAATTTAATTCTAAGTTGTTAAACGGATGAATTTGGTTATTGAGGCTCAGAGGATTTGAAGTTTGAAGGCTCAAGGGTGGGTTTGAGCCTAGCTCTGATGTCAAAGCCTCACCTGACAAGCCTGCTGCAGCTGGGATTGTGACATCAGAAAAGTGGCTCACATTTCAGGCCTGTCCCTCCCATTTGGGACAGTGCTTTCAAAAGCTTTGGCTGAGAAAGGACTTGCCTGCAGATTTACCGAATTTGCCTACCGATTTACTGAATTTGTCTACAGATTTACTGGATTTGCACTCGTTCACATTCCTACAGCTTCGGCTGGTAAGGCTGCCCGCCAGCTCTTTATGATAAGTTGACAAAGCCAGAGGCTGGGACTGCCCTTTGCCATCTTCCTCAGTCTCCTCCTTGCTTCTAGGAAGGCAGACATGCCTTGGGCATCCTCCAAAAATAACTGGAGACAGTGCGTCCACCCTTTGATAGTCACCCTCTACCTGGTATCCATCATGGTGGCAGTTCCCCTGTGTGTATGGCAGCTAGAGCGGGTCCAGGTGAGTGGGTCCCACACCAGTGGGCTCTGCCCTTCTCTCTAACCGTGAGGAGGAGACAGCCCTGGCGCATTCCTACTCCAGACAGGCACCCAGACTCAGAATCTGAAAATGCCTTCCTGTACACGAGTCCCGTCTTTGGACTCATGTCTGGTTTCGTTTGCGCTTCTTCAGATGATGCTACAGGTGGAAAGGTGGGACTGGGTGGACAACACAGTTCCAGGATTTTAATGTAGCTGCTTAGAAAGAAGCGCTTTGTTTTGCAAATATTCACCAATCTCCTGAAAGTTAAGTAGTTTTATTCCTGAAGTCTGATCTGGTCTTCAGATCTTGGACTGAAGTGGATCAGATAAACTACCCGGAGACCACCATATTGAACTTTGTTAGCCTTTCACTAGCTTCCCAAATGAAAGGATGTTAGTTGATTTGACTTTGTTTTTACTTTTGAAATTAGCTCTTAACCAAAGCAGAGGCTTTGCCAAAAGCCCTTTGTATATTTTTTGATGTCATATTCATATTGCAACATCAGTAAAGTGATACAAGCTGGAAAGACCAGGGTAAGTATTCACCTAAGATATATATTATATGTAATATAAGCTGGAAAGTCCAAGGTAAGTATTTACCTAATATAATATTATATGAACTAATATATATATTATGTGAACTTTACACTATGAACTAATAAAAACCACTGAGAAGCACTTGTTTCACAAGTTTTATGGCAGGACTCCAGTTATTTTAGGCCCTTTTTATTGTGGAAATAATTTTAAATAAACAATGTAATATAGATTTATGTTCTGTCTATTTGGTGCTGGAAACTTTTTGAACTTATCACTGACAACAAATATTATCATTTATCTCCCTAGGAGTTACTTACTTACTTGGTTTTCACACAAATATCTATGACATTTCCAAGGCTAAAAAATGTAATTCATTCTTCCAATTATTCTTCCAATGAGGCAGGAGGTTATAGGCAAAAAGCAACTAATGAAGCATGCAACTCAAACAATCACACCTGCACCTCAAATCGGTGCAAATGTGAACACCCTGAAAAAAACTAAAAACATGAATGTTTATTTATTTGTTTGTTTTTGAGACAGGGTCTCACTATTTAGTGAGACTGACCTGGAACTCACCATGTGGCCCAGGCTGGTCTCGAACTCCCAGCCATCCTCCAGCCTCAGCCTCCCGAGTGCTGGGATTACACGTGTGCACCACCATGCCCAGCTGTGAAAATGTTTTTGACTCCTTGGATTCCCTGAGAGATTTTTGAGGGGTCTTCTCACATAGTGGAAACTGGTAATCCAAAATGTGAGCTCTATGAAAGCAGCGAATCAGTTTTGTTTGGTGTTGTATCTTCAACCATTGGTATGTAGAGTTGGGATTCACACACAGCAGATGATCAATAAATACTTCCCAAATATATTGACAAAACCAAGACAGATAGGAGATTAATCTTTTCCAGAATGCGGAAGAATCACTTGAAATGTGTGTTTTTTATTATGTCTAGCTCAATAACCAACACACGCCAGAAAGTAATAGGGAAATCTAATTTCATCATTGTCATTTTCTTCGCTGAAGATTCCACTGACTTCTAACTTGTGAAAGAAAGATATTAAAAGAGCTGTGAAGGGAAAGATAGGAAATGTGCCAGAATCAAAACGCAAGTGCTTTTCATTCTTTCTTTTTTTTCCTTGCTGGGGATTGAGTCCAGGGCCTCCTTGACTTTTTCACTATATTCACATTTCCACTGATGGTGCAAAAATAATGGTGGGTTAAATTGCTGCTGCCTTTTCATGAATCCACGCAGTAGTGCCTGCTATACCAGTACTTTCTGCATTCTTCCCGCCCCAGACCTGCAGGGGGAAAAAAGCCTGAATTGTTCAAGATGCCGCCCCCACCCTGCCCACTACTGCTGAATTGGTGACGCCATGCAGGGCCTCCCACGGCCCAGCAAGCACTCGAGCTGAGCTGCCTTTCCTGCCCTTGATTATCTTTATTTGAGATGGCGTCTTACTTTGGCAATGAGAAAACGAAGCAGCCTCTGGAGCTAAATGCCCCCAAAGCATGGAGTTAATGACAGGACTAAGCTGTAGCATCCTGCACTTTTCCCGCCACACGTAGCAGTGATAGGATTGACAGTATGAACCATGAAAATAATTTCTGTGTATTCCTTCTATAGAAAACTGGTCAAGCAAGCTCAGAGAGAAAATCCTTAAGCCACTGCATGGACCCAGAACAGAAGAGGAATCCAAAGTTAAGGACATGTGAACGTACCGCCCGGTAGGGCCCTTCACCCCCCTCCCAAACAGCTCCCTCTGGACCTACCCAAAGGAAACGTGGAGAGCAGGTTAGGCACACAGGACTACGTAGAGGTAAAGCGTCAAACTCTTGGAAGTAAGCAAGTTGGGCCTGACCCCTAAAGGAGGGTCCTGGGGCCGTGCTGACGTGCACAGGGGTCAGAGGCTGCCAAAGCCCCAGCAGACAGGGGCACTTCTGGTGTTTTCCAGCAGCTGGCGATTAGCATCTTGTGTGGGATTTTCTGCACACTGTGGGATATTTACCATCCTGATCGTCCACCCAAATGCCTCTAAATTCCTGGCACTATGTTCAGGAAACACGTTCGGCATATTTCTAAATGCCCACTGGGGGGCAGTATCATCTTGATTACATTATCATGTATTTCCCAATAAAAACACTTTCTAAAAATGTAGAAGGATATAATTGAAAGATCGTAGTTGATGTTTGTCTTCTCAGTTGTTTTTGTTTTTGTTTCTGTGTTTTTGTTCTCCTCTCCACTGCCAGGCCTCCCTTGGTCGCCACTGAGTCAATAGAATTCATTACTTCAGGACTGGTGTGACATAACCACGAACAAAGACATCTATGTTTCCGAAGGACATCTTAAAATCCAAAGGAGGGAAGTGGTTCCAGCGCCTGCCTTGCAAGCGCAAGATCCCGAGTGCGATCCCCAGTACCAAAAAACAAACAAACAAAAAATAAATAAAAACCCAAGGAAGGAGAACCTGTAGGCTTTTTGTAGGAAGGGCCAGGTTTTTCTGAGAGGAAAATAACCAAATTTGTTAAGCTCAAAAGGAGTAAGAGTTTGGAGCAGGGCTGGGGATTGAGCTCAGTGGTGCAAGCAACTGCCTCTCAAGTGCAAGGTCCTGAGTTCCATCCCCAGGAACAACGGGGGTGGGGGGGGACAGGAGAGAGAGGACAGAGATAGGAGAGAGATAGAGAGGAGACGGAGGGAGGGGAGAGAGACAGCAAGAGTGGGGAGGGGAAGAGAAGAGGAGAGAGAGAGAGAGGAGATAACGCACGCACTTGGAGGACGCAGGGCAGTGTGGTCACATCATACACTGAGTTATACAGTTAGAAGCTATGAAGCAGACCCAGACGGAAATAGAAACAACAGTCTTCTGGAAGGGGAAAGATAGCCTGAAAGCTCGTGACCTTGGGGAGGCCGGAAAAAGACGGCCACTCCCGAGTCAGCGGAGAGGACAAGCAATTAATTCCTGGGGACTCGAGGATTTAGAACCGCGAAGGTCACCACTCCGCTCCAGGAGGCCCCACTCCAAGGCCCCTGCTCCCACACAGCTGGGTGGGTGCCCAAGCCGATCTCCACGCCCTTCAGGATGCCGAGCACCCAACACTTCCCTGAACCCCCTCCCAACAGTTTGCTGAGTCTTTCCAGAGCAACCCGGAAGCGGAAGCGGAAGCGGCGGGAAGCAGCGTGGCTGGGAGAGAGGGGCCTGTGTTCGGGGAGAAGCTGGCCAGGTCCTGCGTGGGCAGCGGGAACGGGCTGACTCCTACAGGTCAGAGGGAATCGCCCGTGTCAGTACGTCCTGGACGGGGTGCCTCTGAGGTCCGAGCAGCCGGCGTGGAAATCTTCAGGGAGAGAGCAGACAGGGAGGAGTGGGGAGCAGAGGAGGAGAGAAAGGCAGAGAGGCAAACTGCAAAGTTCACACCGAAGGTCAAGTCCTGGGGCTCTTCAGTAGAAAGGGGACTTAGCAACTAAGTGTGTGTGATGAGGGCATCGCTTCAGTACCCTGCTGGGGTCCCTGGAAGGAGGGTGCTGTGGGGGACCTTCAGGTCACTGGGGGTGCACCCCAGAGGGACCCCAGCCCGTTCCTCTTGTTTCTGTGGTTCTGACCATGACGTAAGCGGTTCGTTCCACTAAATGTTCCCTGTCATCCCTATCTGGCCCCACCTCAGAGAGCTCAAAGCAGAGGGTCTACCCAGCCATGGACTACAATTTCTAAAGCTTTCTCTGTAGGAGTTGTTTATCTCTGGCGTTTTGTTGTACTGGCAGAAAGCTGACCGACACACCCCACCTTTAACTCTGCAGGAGGCTCCTAGGGGCCTTGGACCAGCTGTTCTCTTTGTCTAGAGCTACTTGTGCGGTTCTGGATGAGTATGTAAGGAGATACAGTTATCCCTTTTGTTTCTCCACTCTTGTAAGTACGGCTGAAGCAGATCCTAACTGTAGAGATGCAGGATTGCCATCATCGATGGACACATACTTTATGCTGTAATCTGTGCATTTTTAAATCAGTGCAAGATGTATTCTCTATTTTATGCAAGTATAATGTCAAAATTAATTGTCACTAGGAAAATGACAAAAGCTTAGGCATAAGTTTTCTTGAAATTTCTTCCAAACCATCATAATTCCTAAACTGACAACCATAGTGTAAGTTCAAAGAGAAATTCCATCTTAGATTTAACTAATTATCTAAGGAACTTTTGTTTTTTCTTTTTTCTTTTTTTTTTTTTTTGGTAGATTTTTAAATGTATAGGTTTAGGTCTTTTGTTTTTTAATCTAGATGCTATTAACATTCAGAATTTAAATTGAATATATATACTGTGCACATGTCTTTGGAGATAATCCACATGGGCACGTCACTGATGTCACTTCAATTTAAGACTAATATTTAGCTCCTTCTTTGATACTGTTAAGCTCTTTTTTTTTGTTTTGTTTTTTGGTACCGGAGATTGAACTCCGGTCCTTGAACTTGTGAGGCAGACAGCGGAACCACTGAGCTAAATCCCCAGCCTTAAGCTCATTTTTATTTTATTTGTTTGTTTTTGTTTTTTGTTTTTTGGTACCGGGGATCAAACCCAGGACCTTGCACTTGTGAGACAGGCAGCAGCAATATTGAGCTAAATCCCTGGCCCACTCATTTTTATTTTAGTCATTTCTATGTTTCTCTCTCCCTGCAAAACAAGACAATTATTTTATCAAAGAATACAAAATAGTCTGTAAAATACACACACACGCGCACACACACACACACACAAAAAAAAAAAATGTCTTAAACTCTCGTAAACACATAATCAGATTGTTCTGTCTTTCCTGGGTTTGTTTCTGATAAACTCTGTTTTGTGTTACAAAACAGCAAAGTGGCTGTGTCCTCACATACTTATAGTTTCATAACCAAAGTTCTGTGATATTTCATGTTCTTATTATTAAGTATGTGGGTTATTTAACCTTCTTGTCTTAACTCCAAACTCAATGGATTAAACAAAAGAATGTGCTGAAGTCACTTTGTTTATGGCGTACATGATACATTTTGTGGTTGAGTTTTATTACTTGTTTCATGAAAAAAAAATCTACAAGCTTGCCTTTCAGGTCATTTTGGATACTCTAGTAGTTTATTCCATGGTTTAAGAGCTTTGTATTCTGCTTTTTGGGTTTTTTTTTTTTTTTAACTTTTCAGTGAAATTGAGTTGCTAGCTCAGAAGGTATCTACATCCTATTGTGTAAAGAATTAAAGAAGATGTGATTCTTTTTTTCTTTTTGAAGACAGAATCTCACTAAGTTGCCCAGGTTGGCCTTAGACTTGTGATTCTCCTGCCTAACCCCCCTGGTGTTTGGACTACAGGCATGCACCACTATACCCGCCTCTGTCCTAGACTTGTTCATCCCCTTACTCTGTCCTCTCAATAAGGTCTCAATAGAAGAAGAAGTGCTGCTAATTTAAAATGTCTTTTCTTCTTCTGATCACTTCCTTAGGTAACTAACCAGAAACACTTTTTTTTCCCAGCTTGCAGCCCTCGGTGTTGAACTCAGGTACTTGTGCTGAGCTGCAGCTCCAGCTGTTTTACTTTTTATTCTTAGACAAGGTCTCACTAATTTGCTAACTTGACCAGGCTGAGCTTGAGACTTGTGATCCTCCTCCTCAGTGCTGGGATTCCGGGTGTGTGCCACTGTGCCTGTCTCTAATAACTCAAACTCAAACTCCACATGCAAAGTCCAAGAAAAGTGAGTCAAAACTGAGCAGTAGGCAGAGAGCAGGACAAGGAACTTATATCTTGCACTTGTAACCACTCTTTCAGATAAGTAAAAACTGATAAGAAGCCCTTGAGAAACCCTTATCAGTCACTGCAAAAAGTAGCTCAACCCAGCCTAATCTGGCAGAGACTCAAAGGGCTGAATTCCTGAATACATTAGAGGATTTTCTTTTCCTATTCGTAAGTGTGCTGTAGAAGAGTGATTTTGCTACAAGAAGCTCAGTTACAATACCTCTGTATTTACGTGAAATGCCCAGTGGGTTTGCACCTACAAAGGAGACTGCCTGAGTGACCGACAGATGCCGCAGAAGTGGGCGTCAGCATGACCCCTGCCCCTGGGTGGAGAGTCCAAGGCAGCTTGCGGACAGGAAGTGGAGCTCTTCCAGGCCAGGCTTCTTTCCCTCTCAGTCATGACCACCTGTGTGATTTCTAAGCGACAACTCTGTCAATATTTCGGTGCATACCCTGCCGTTCTTGTTCTCTTACCATATACATTTTTATTGTTGTTGCTTGGAACTGGGATGGAACTGGGGACCTTGTGCTTGCGAGGCAGGCAACGACACCACTGAGCTAAATCCCCAGCCCTTCCCAATACACTTTTTAATTTGAAAAATTGGTCTTATAGTGCACTTGGTAGCTCAAAGTATTTTTTCACTAACAGTGCATGTTTAATTCTTTTGAAAATGTTCTCAACCAAGTAAGACTATGTATTATCTAGCTGTTGGGGCCACACGTGGTTTCCTGTTGTTAGATATTTAGGCTATTTCTAATTTTTGCCTGTTACAAATATTGTTGCACTCAACATCCTTGAACTTAAATTTTTGTACATATCCTGATTATTTCCTATAAATAAATTCCTAGAAGTAATATTACTGGGTCAAAAGGCAAATGCTTTTAAATGATGACCTATGCTACCTCCATCCGCAGATAACAAGCGGAAACAATTTGATGGGTATTAGCACAATCTTTCTGAAAAATGAATGTACAAAGCTCATGTTTATATAACCCTTTGACGGACTGGTGCAGTTGTTTGACTAATGGTCAACTTGTAAACCCCAGCTGAACTGAATCAGCATGGTCTGGGCATGGAGGATCCACCTAAAGATTGTTGCCAATCGCCATAAAAAGAGAACAGGAGGGGAAGATCTCGGCCTGTTGATTTTCTAGGAGAGCCCTGCTGTGGGTGGTTTTCCTGGTGCAAACTAGGCTGTTCTCTCGTCAGAAGAGCTCCGAACCTCACTGTCACTGGCACCGGGAATGGCTGCTGCTTTCATCAAAGGAGCTCTGATCTTTACTGTGCGCATCGCTTCCTGGCTCCAGTGTGGATCCCTCAGGTTGGTGGCACAAATCCTTCGAGTCGCCAGCATAAATTTTTCTGGCCACTGGCCTTGGGCTTTCCAGGTGCAGCTCCTCAATACGGACCAACATGAGACATTGCCGTGGGCTCTAGGCCACTGGCTGGACTCGAGGAGGACATTGCCTTGGACTGTAAGCCTTTAGCTGGACTTGTGTGGGAAACTGCTGGGATCCAGGCCCTCAGTTAAATGCTTTGGGCTTCTAGTGTGAGGTTAATCTCTTGCACTCCTTGCGTTTGACTCTTTGGGTAATTATCATAAAATAACCTTCTAAGTTATGTGTCCTGTATTTAAGGGATTCCCTCGCCCAATCCTGCTGACTATGGGGGGTATGAAAGGACTGTAAGCAGAGGGATGACATGATCTGGCTTTTTTGTTTGTTTGTTTTTTGCAAGCTCTCTGATTGCTTCGCTGCAAATATAGAGTGCAGAGGGCGATAACAGAAGCAGAAGTCTACTGTAAGACTGGAACCAGCAGAGACAGCAACATCTCCCAGCAGGGGCAACAGTTTGCGTGTGGGGGGTGGACTGTGATCAGACTCTGGCTATGTTTTTGCAGGGAGATGGATTCGATATGGGGAATGAGGGAATGAGAAGAACACAGATTAACTCGAGGTTTTTTTGGACCTTAGCAATTGGAGGGATGGTATGGACATCAAATAATGTGAAGGGGGTGCTGAAGGTGGGACAGTCTTCAAGAGACAGAATGTAATTTGGTTGGAGAGCACAGCTGAGATGTCTGTTAAGCATGCAAGTGGGGGCTGAGGGTTTGGCTCAGTGGTTCCACTTCCTGCTTTGTGAGTGCAAGGGCCCTGGTTCGATCCCCAGTGTCAAAAAAAGAAAAGAAAAAAAATTCAAGTGGGCAAAAGCTAGGTGCAGTGGTGCGCACATGTAATCCGGCACTGGGGAGGCTGAGGCAGGAGGATCACTGTGAGTTGGAGGCCAGCCTGAATTACATAGCAAAACCTTGTCTCAAAGAAAGAAAGAATCCGGGCTGGGGATTTAGCTCAGTAGTTCTGCCACCTGCTTCACAAGCACAAGGACCTGAGTTCGATCCCCAGTACCCCAAGAAAAGAAAGAAAGAATCCAAGTGGAGATGTCCAGTGGGTTGTTGGATACACATCTGGAGATCTGGAGTGAGCAGGCAGGTGTTGGACACATGATGGGGGT